CATTGTATTTTAACTGTATTTTATTCTATCTTATACTTTATTTTGCATTTTATTGCTGTAACCCACCCCTGGAGCCATATGGCTAATGGAGTGGGTTAGAAATTTAACAAATAAAATCCAAGTAAAAGCATGTTTAGTGCTACAGTTAATCAATGCTTTCTACCAAAGAGAAAAGCTTTCTTGACTAAGTCTATGCAAATAAAAAGTCCATTTGATCATGTCTCAGCTATGAGTATTTACACTCTACCTAGCAAGCAGAGGCATTTCATTTTGCCCTCATAAAACTAAATACCTCCAATTTACTCAATAACTATCAAAACTTTCTTCAATCTAAGATTTCCATTTTTATCTGCTGTTTTTTGTAAGAGTTGAGCTTGGCCAAAGCAGAATAAAGCACAAACAAGAAACACTGCAATAAATAAATAAATAAATAAATAAATAAATAAATAAATAGCTCAGGTTTCTGTATTCCAATACTTAACCTCAAACATCGTTGCAACTACTGTTCATAAGGCCAACACTATATGGAAAATTAAGAAACAGAAAGTAGTGATAAACAGGTAGTTTTAACAATGAAGGAAGACAAGGATTGGAGTCTGCTAAATTTCTATTATTTTGCGACCTTTTGTTACGTAGTATATGAGAAGAGGGAATGACAGAAAGAGAATAGCTTTTGGTTCTGGCACTCCCCACCACTTAGGTAAACATCTCATCATACTCAGGGTTCCTCTGTTGTCTGAGGTGAAGCGGTAGGTATGTGAAGAGAAGATATTCCTTATTCTGTGGAAATCTTTTCCAAAATAAAGGCCCACCTGGTTTCATCATTGCTTGGTTTTAGGTAATAAACATTCAGATATGGTTTAGAAATACTTGTTGACTATTGAACCTGTTGCTTTACATTTGTTTTTATGCTACAATGATTTGCTGCTACTGCTTTTACTATTTTAATCTATTGTCTGTTTTATATTCTTGTTAAACCATCAGTAGTTCTGAGAAAAACAACGTAAACTGGCCTTGAAATAACTGGGGGAACAAATAGTTCTTTTTCCAATTTGCACCACCTATATTTTTGTGTTTTTTCACAGGTCTTCCCATTTCTAGAAAGATCAAAAAGCAGCATGATTACAGATATTTTAAATTAGCAATTAGGGACACTGCACTCACTTATTAGAAAGGGACACTACTGCTATGGCAGATAATGCCAACATTAGGATAAATGTACAGACCTAGGCTAAGTGACTAGTCCAGGCAGCAATGATGGAACTCTACATATCCAAAAATATGGTAGATGTTTCAAAGAGGTTGCAAGTTATGTAGAGCACAGTAGGACAGGCATGTTCTACTTTCCTTGCACTTGCTATATCTGCATCCTATATATGCAGGTGTATAGCATGGATGCTGGACTTCAAGCAGCCAGTGCTTATACATAGTAAGCACACACATGGCCTTTAGAAACCTCTGCTGGCAGTTGTCACAATGCAGATGGGGGTGATTTGGGGCTGTTGTCCCTTCCCCATACTGTTCCAGAAAGTCATCCAACCCTCCAGAGCACATTTTGAGGGGGGGAAGTTGCTGAAAATTGCCTCCCTTTATAATCCATTAATCAAGCCTGGATCAGAGAACCTTCTTTTCAACAGAGGGATGCCAATTAGATACCACCCTGAGGATTTCTTTAGAAAGATACTGCACTATGCTTCCCCGTTACTCTGGTTAAATGGAGGAATGCTTTTAACAAACCAAATACACAGTCAAATGTGAAAAATCAAGGATTCATATCTTATCAGCTGTATTAGACTTATAGAAATTGGTAAGTAAGAAGAGCAATACCAGAGTTATGCACTATAAGAGAGAATACAATATTTATGCATAAGCAATAAGCACCACCTACTTTACAAATATGCCTAATGGCAAAATGAAAGCAATTAAATAGATAATACTGAGCCAATCTTAAAAACCCATTATTCACAAAGAAACCAATAGCTGACAGTGCACACAATTAAGGTACAATTTAAATGTTCCTGTCACATCAAAATGCCCTGATTCTATTTTTTCCAATCATTTTCAGTCACAAGGTTTTAACCCTCTGTAGAGAAGTCGCAGTCAGGTTAAGGGGGTGTAACTCTGTAGTCCAAGAAGCATACAATAAAGACAACATATTTCGAAGTCAAGTAATAATGGATGGAGCCACAACTAAGAGAATTACTTACTACTACAGAATGCTCATTAATACAGAAATTTGATTTGAGGCACATCATCTAAAGCTTCCATATGTGAAATAATGCTAAGCCTGGAAGATACGTTGTTAAAGATGCAAAATGGGAATAACAGTATAATTTGGAAACATCCAAAACATAAAATCCTAGCAAGCAAAAAAAATGTGAACCATCAGTTCTAACGGCTAAAAAATATGTTACTAGGCAATGTAACTCAAGCCACAATTACTACATATCTTTTCCTACAATATTATGTGGAAAAGTCTTACTTTGATTCCACGTTTTTCACCAAGAGAAAACCTCTAAGATAAAAATATTAATGAACTGCAAAGAAAAAATCACCAAGTTCTCTATGAAAGTGTCTTATATCTTTCACAAAAAGCAGCTACCAAAGAACTGTATAATGTTGAAAAACTACTAAATCATACAAGAAATCATAAAAATCAAATGCAGCTTGGCAAAAACAGAATTTGGATGGGTTAACTCATACTTAAGGTTGAGTTTGAATTGTCACTGCAACAGTTTGTTTGTGCTGTTTGAACGCAGACATGTTAACAACCCATAAAAAGAGCAGACTGCTGTTGAGTTTTAAACCATAGGTTGTTCATGAGTAATAAACCATGGTTTAATGGCTGATATGTTTCAGTGACAACCCACATTTCATAAAATCTTAAGAAAAACCATACTGGTTCAGAGTAATTGTCCACCTAATTGTCCATCAGCTCTCCATTCACATTGTAGAAAACTAGCTGACCACAATATCTCTCAAGCAAATGGGTACAAGAATTCTGCCTGTCCAAGCTCCTCAGAAATGAAGGCCATGATACCTCTGATAACTGAAACAGCACATAGACAGCAAGGCTAGCAGCCACTGACAGCCTTCTCCTCCATCTTCCCATCCAATCCCCTTTTTGAAGCCATTCAAATTAGTGGCCACCAATACTTCCTGTGGCGGTGAATTCCATGGTTTGTGCGCTGGATGAAGAAGTACCCACATGTACTCCCCACACTCAACCTTGAGCATGGGTTATTCTGTTGTGTGTACCCAGTCACTGTGTGCTTCTAGAATATGCAAAATGATCTATTCCACTAGGAGAATTCTTCTTTTAAAACATTATACAAGATGTTTTGCACAGATGAATATATGCTTGCTGTCATTGGAAGTATTTGATACAATAGGATGCTGTGTGCAGCATAAGCTGAGAAGTGCTAGAGGAAAAAAAACCTCTAACAAAAATCACGGTTACTAAGGAAGCCAGATAAGAAATGTGCTAATGGTAGAATGACACAAGAGACATTGTTAAGGGGAAAGCTATAGACAAAACAACTGGAAGAAGGTAAGCAGAAAGAGACAGGCATGTCTTAGTGACTTCAGTATCTGTTGTCACATTATAAATAGTCCTGTTATTAGAGTGACCTCATTGTCCACACCTTCATGCATACTTGCAAATAGAAAAGCAATTCTCAATTGTTATGGGGGTGGGGGTGCAGGATAGACACAGCCAGTAGGTGATAATTATTCCTGAGTAATTAAAACCAACACTGATGCATGCAAACAAATGAATACAGATTAAAACAAGCAAGTAGTGTTAAAACACTACCAACAACATATTTGCAAGAAAGGAAGATGATAGAGGGACAATTATAAATCCATTGTAGGGTGGTGGGGAAGAAGGTACTCAGTTGAGCAGAAATTGTGCAATATAAAAGTAGGTAATTAAGAAAAGAAACAGGAAAACTTACATGAAGTAGGGGGCATGGACAACAAAGGGTAGCACGGCCTGGGAAACTGGACCTGGGTGTGTTTTCTGATAGGGAGGGGTCATGACTCATTCCAATAGAGTCCACCTTGCATGTAGAATGTCTCAATTCCTGCCATTTCCAGCTAATGGGCTTAGATACAAGATGACAGGAAAGACCTCTATCTGTCCAAGACTTTGCCAGCCAAAGTAAATGGTATAGACTTGGATAAACAAAATAATCAGACCTTGTATAAAGCAACTTCCTATTTTTCCTTTCTGGAAATGAGGGTCCTGTTAATACCCTTTAAAACACTCACACAACCTGATACCTTCCAGATGTGTTAGATTGCTACTCCCATCATTCCCAACCAACCTTGCTATACTGACTGCAAACCCTGGGTATCACAGCCCAACACACCAAATTTACCATAGCATAAGGCTTCTGAGACAAGAGCCTTCTTCACTGTCTGGGAGACCAAGCTATACTCTACAAAATCTTGTATCTCAATATACTGGTCGCCTTACAGCAGGTTGATGTGAACGGCTTTCTTTCCCAATTTGGTGCCCTGCAGATAAGCACTGAAATCCACACTATCAGCCTCAGCCAGCATGTCTAATAGCCAAGAATCCTGGGAACTGTAACCAGAAACATCTGGGGGGCACCAGTTGGGGAAGAAAGCTTTTCACATCAACAACGAACTACGGACAACGAATGTATTTGTTGCAAGAAGCTTCACAGGGCTGCTCAAGTGGAATCTCTCTGACACAATAAGCAGAAAGTGGCTCCATGGCGCCCCTGAACCCCCGCCCCTGGCGCTGTATCCGTGCGAGCAGCGATAGCGAAGCAGACAGCGTGGAGGACAGGAAAGCCCTCCGAGTCGGTTTGAAGGCAGAGGAGAAAAAGGCAGCATGGAGATCAACCATGGAAAAGCGGGGAGCGGGAGAGAGAGAAGGGCGTGCGAGGGGATCGGAAAAGCGGTGAGGGCAAGCCCACCACGCGGGGCGAGGAAACCAGGCTTCAGGCCGCCGCCCCTCACTCACTCACCCGTCTTTCCGCTTGGCCTTGTAGACGTGCCCGTAGGTCCCCCTCCCCACCTTGCAGCCCTCGTACTCGAAGAGGTCCTCCACGCGTTCGCGCTCCCCGGTCAGCTTCACCTTGAAGTCATAGTCCATCTTCATTCAGCGCCCGCCGCCTCAGACGACACTCCGCCCTGCGGAGCCCCCGCCCGCCACCGCCGCAGGCACCAGGGAGGAGGGCAAGGAGGAGGAGGAGGCCCCACTGCCGCCGCCGCCGCGACGCCGACCATCCAGGTAGGGGGACAGAGAGGGAGGGAAGGAGGCGGCGGCAGCACGTAGGGCTGTGAGGCGGGAGCGGAGAAAAGCGGAGCCGGACAGGTGAAGGGCGGGATAGCTGCTGCCGCTACCGCTTTTCTCGTCGTCGTCGCCGCGCTTGCCTCAGCCGGCTGAAAAGCCAAATAGGCAAAGCCGCACAACAGCCGGTATCTCGCGACTCAGAATACGGCAGCCGCGCCTGACCACGCTGCTGCAAAAGAAGGAGCGTCGCAAAGCCTCCCCTCCCCTTCTCCGGTGACTCCCTCAATCCTAGAAAGCGTACCACGTGGAAACCTACCGGCTCCTAGGCAACGCCTCCTCTCCACTTCGACCCTCCCCTCCTCGTTCTGTCCCAGCATGCAGTGCATTCGAGCGGCGCGCCGGAGGCTTTGGGAAGTGTAGTTGAGAAGGCTAACTTAGAACGAAGTACCGAGTACCATAGGGGTGGGTAATGTATTATAAGCCACTTAGGAAGGCCCCGCCAGTTATAGGGGGCGTATAAATGAATGAGTGAATGTGCTCGCCAGATGTGGACTTCAGTTCCTCGCTTTTCTGACCAATGGTTATGCTCGCACTTGTGGCAGTTGAAAGTGCCCCCTGCACACTTACCTCTGGAGGCGTAGCTTTCTTTCCATTCTTGTTTTAAGAAACGTATAGTATGTATCTTGAGACTTGTAGCCAGGGTCTCACCGGATATGATCTTGGAGTATGCCGGGAGTTGGAGTCTTCGGGTTTTGTTTTAAACTCTGAAGAAGTGGTACCCGTTGCATGCTGGTATATGTAGTCCAGAGGCTCAAAGGGCGAGCGTGGTAATAATTAAACCTTCGAGGGTTCTCGCTGAGGTTCCATCTCCATGGGAACATGTTATCGAGGGGCAGTTGTGTGAAGAGGAAGAGAGACTTTTTGCTGGCTCTGAAGGACAGACTTGCGGTACAGATGACACCCTGCAAGGTGATCTACCAAATACAGCATATGTGTGTGTATAGTTATTGCAGCACTTGCAGCAGATTTCAAGACTGATGTCATTAGTGCTGTGTTGTGTTATGGAAAAGCATGATGGGTTGTGTCCCATATTAGTTCTACTTAGACTAGACTCATTGAAATGTGTGGGACAGACAGAAGTTGGATGAACATTGATTATAAGTGTTTGCGAAATAAGTGGAAGGGGCTAGTGAAGCACTACTTCATTGACGATCACTTTGTGGGGTGTCATAAATGTCTTGGGGTTAGGGTTTCAAGTCTTAGGACACAGCTAGACAAGTCTTAACAAGACTTGAGTCAAGACCTGGAATCTAGACAAGATTTTCACTAACAAAGCAGAAACCGAAAACTTCTGACACTACCAAAAATAATTAGTTCCAGTGTCACCCAGTGACTTGCTAAACTTTACAATGGTCTATCCACTCAGAGCTACAGCACTTTTTTTCAACACAAGCAGTATCTGTTTGTTGATTCCCCCCCCCCCCCCACTGCAACAGTTGGAAAAATTAAGCCTCACAAGTTAGGCCCCCAGCCAAGGAACAGTTGTTCTATTACAGTACCATAAACTTCAAACCCCTGATTTACTAACCAGTAGAAAGTCACATTTCAGGCTTTAAAATGTGTTCACTGTAGTGTGTTCAGTCCCTCAATGTGTTTGTGGCAGCTTGTGGGTTGCCAACTAGACCTAGTGGCTGTTATCTCCCTTCAGCAAAAACTCTGCAGTGGGGCAGGGTTCTATTCCAATCAGTTAAGTTACTGTTTTGTTGCCTCTGTTTTCCAGACTGGGAACATGCAAAAAGAAGTCATGGATATGAATTAAAAGTCCCACTGACTATCATGTAAACTGGACACATTACAAATATTGTGGTGTCTCTGCTTCTAAACAACTTGAGGTTCATGCACTCCTCATTTGATGGATGAATGCTTCAGATTGTATAGTGAAAAATAGAATATTTTAAGGTGAAGTGGGCTGAAGAGAAATGATAGCTGTTTGACTTGTGTTAACAATGTTGATAGAATTATTAAGTAGAAATGACAACAAATGCCTTTAAAAATGCAGTCCTTTTGTCATTTACCCGTAAGTGTATCTGAAAAGAGGCCATTGAAACTGGAAGTGAATGTTGCCACCACCAGCAAAGTCTAAAATAGCGGCTCTGCCATGCAGATGAGTCCACACAAGAACAGTTTGATCTTTATTTGTTTTGGTAACAATTTCTTTGTAACAAACTACAATAGAGGCATACTATAACTATTTTTCTGAATTGGAACAATGCTCAGATTAGGTTTACATAAATTTAACAGTTACTCTGTTAGATCACCATAGCAGGTCAATGATTATTTAAGATCTGCTGCCCTCTTTAGTCTATTCATATGAATTTTCCAACAATGAGGATGTGTCACAAAAGATGGGGGTAGAATCAAATTGTAGGCATTTCAGTAAGAACTTTAGCAAATAGAACCATGAGCTGCAAATGGTTTTCAGTGATGCTTTCTCTTTCATAGCATAGCTGGAAGATGCTCCAGTGCTCTTTCAAATGAATTATCATTATGTGACTTTTGGGGAGGGAGTCATCTTGATTGCTTTGGAGAGAAGGAAATGGCTCTGTGAAAGCTGATTGCAAAGAAAATTGAGTTTGATAGTGGAGCATTAATTGATTGGGAGTTGGAGGGAACTGCTTAGATTGAACCAGCAGAATTGATTATGTCTAGGAAGAAGAGTCTGAAAATATACAGTTATGGAGTGAAAATATTGATGTTCAAGTAAAAGATATTTTAGCTTGTGGAAGCAAACTATGATAGAGGACAAGCATAATTAATGTGGATTGTTGGAATTCACTGCTGAATACCACTGCAGAAAATGCTTTACGCAAAAGCTGCAAGATCTAATCCTGTGCAGATTTACTTAGAAGTAAATACCACTGAGTTCTGCAGGTCATAAATTTTAGATAAGCCTGCATGGTTTCTAGTCCTTCATTAATAATATAGCCATTCATGGTTTGGATCCATAGTGAGCATTAGAAGACTAATGCAGAACAAAGGAAAAATAGCCTTAAAATGAGCCTTTCCCCCTAAAGCAATGCTTTACAGGTCTTAATGGAACACTATGGTTTCACATTTGAGGATGGGTCATTCAATGACATTTGGAAGAGTCGATTTAATTCAATATTTTTGGAGGGTACCAGGCTGGGGAAGGCTAATTAATTTTAACAACCCAAAGAATGGTGTATGATATTCTGATAAGCACTCATCTGTTTCAACAGAGTTCAACTCTGTTCCCTTGGTGTTGTTGGGCTCCTTTCAGATGCGCTGTCACTGCTTATTATTTACATTTCACACTGGGACAAATACATATCATCTCACATGTTTGCTAGGGATAATCATCTGAAAACCATCAATTGCAGTGCTGGATCTGCCAAGCTTGCCTAATATTGTATTTGCAATTAACATCCATTTGTGTTCGTAATGAACATATGAAATGTTCTGTGAAAAAATTAACTGAAAAATGTTCTGCCTCCCTTCACTGCCCTGCTTATATGCATTTTCACTGGATCCAGTTCTGCTTTTGATGAGTCACACATCTATAGGTTTGCTATTTCTTACTGCCTCCCATCTTTTTAGCTATGGCACTGCAGACCCAGAATTCATGGCTGCAGCTTTTGCTAGCATAGATGGTGGGAGTGTGATGGATGGGGAGAGACTAAACTAAATTTCCACTTGCCACAAACCAGTTTAAAAGTGGTCCTTGTTGTTGTTTAAACAGTGTTAATCCTATTACACTGTACTTAGTGTCTTTTTCTAGTTAATTTTGCAGTCTGGCTAGGGATTTCTTCTTGCTGATGTAACAGCCCAGGCCTTTGCAGTTAGGTGCACTGGGCTTACGACCCTACATGTAGCCCTGGTCCTCATCTCCTCATTGTCAAGAGAGAAAATTTGGGCAGAGAGAGTGTTCTTGCTTTGGGCAGCATGTTTGAGGACTGGCCCTTGTGACACTGCAAAGAGAGAGCTGCTACCTGCTTTGGGCCACACAGCAGAAAAATTGAGCCAAGTGGCACAGTTCACCCCACTTCACTGTCCACAGACAGAGGACAAACAGTTCAGGGAAAAGCAGTAGTTGCTTCTTCTGCTCCCATACACATGCCCTCTGCGTGGTGTTACTCCTTCCTATGACAGCATATCAGGAAAGGAACTTGGTGGTATTGGGGTGCGGGTGGGGTGTCTGGCACCTTTTCCAACTAATCCTATTTGGTTTATATGTCACCCAGTAGCTGAAACCTTCTGTGCAGTTTACAGCAATTCACATTTCACATTATGTATTTACTAATAATACTTGTATTCTGATGGACATAACAACAGTTCCTAAAGTGCAAGTCTATGCATGTTTATACAGAAAACACGCTGGCCAAGGAATGCTGATAGTTGAAGGTTTTGTTTTGTTTTCGTCTGAACATGTATAGGTGTACTAAGAGGTTTACATGCTAAAATAGTAAAATACATTATGCCTTCTCCTGCTACTTTTGGGAATTCTGATATATGTATGCATGCAGATATATAAACCATGGATCAAAACAGCCACCTGTGTTCTTGGACTGTCCTTGCAGAGGTGGCTGCAGGACTTCTGATGAGCTTGTGCATTTCAAACAATGTCACTACACCATTGATTCCCACAAGGAAGAAGGGAGGCAGCTACTACACTGTTGCCTCCACACTTGGATCCTGTTTCCCCTACCATCTCTAGAAGTAGCCATCACTACTTCTGAATGAACACTTGCACTCCACATATGAGCTGAGCGCTCCTCTCTTTTTTGGCAAAGTTTCTCAAGGTTACCAAGAGGGATCAAGCAGGAGCCATGGTCTTCCCTTATTCTTGCCACGCTTCCTATGCTTCCTCACCTTCCCTGAGGATTGGGCTTGCAGCACTGGTATTGTTATATTGGTATCATGCCTTTTCCTCCAAGGAGTCCAAGATAGTGTACACAATGTTTCTCTCCCGTTCACTCCTATGACAACCCTGTGAAGTAGATTAGACTGAGAGTCAACGACGAGCCCAAAGTCACCCAGTGTGCTTCAATAGCCCAGTGGGGTCTGGATCCAGGTCTTCCTATTTCCAGGCCTGCGCTGCCCATTACACCACAGTGATTCCCCAGTGAGTCTGGCATCCTTAAGTGCTGAGGCCCCACCAGCTGCCCCACGGATCCAACCCCTGACCTTAAATGAGGCTGCTAGCATATTCGTACAGCAGCGCTAGACACCACGTTTTCCTTCCCGAGAAAAGGCAGCCGGAGTTCAGAAAGCTTACTCATCTTGTCCTCCCCGCACTGCGATCAGTACCTTAAAAATTGTCCCGCCCCCTTTCGCTCCCGACTGGGCACAGTTTTCCTGCTTGCGTGTGCGGATTCTTGGCGGAACCATCGAGCCGAAGCACCGGAAGCCGGCGGATCGGGATTTCCGTGCACCTCTACGTCCTGTATTTGATAGGAACTGTCAGTTTATCGCAGGCTACCGCAGGGAGAGGCGAGGAGATCCGTTTGTACTGAGGAAAACCGTCCTTTTGAAGCGACTTTCCTCCTAGTCGTCGGGGAGGAAGAGGGCTTTGTGGGTGCCGGCATGCAGCCTCTGCTGATGAAGACGCATTCTCCAGGCAGCCGTCTGCTACATGCATAAGCCGGCTCCGGCCTGGTTCTGGGGAAGTGTGATTGGTCACGTCCCGTCTTTCCCCGCTGGTGGCTAGCAAGAAGTAGTGTCAGTCATTCTCTCCCCTCCCCCCCGAAGACTCCAGGCCTGGCGAGGAAGAAGAAGGTCAGCGCCTCCAACCAGGGAGGCCCGACCAGGTAAAGACGTGTTGAGGAAGCAGTATTAGTGCTGACTCGAAATACAAAAGTGTTGTGGCACCTTAAAGATTCAGTTTACAAACGCTAATGCTACGATCAATCAGCTAGGCTATAATCCCCCTCCCCGCTGAGGTGGTGTTAGAGGATGACCCCCTAGGGTTGGAACACCGAATTTCTGCGGGGCTTTGTGCCCCACCACGCTGCTGTCCGGGGCACTTGCTGGAAGGAAGTGCAGAGCCTTGATCTCTGTTGACATCTGATTCCCCCAATTGACTGACTTTTTGCCTAAATCTGCTTCATCTCTTGCTGCCCCAGCCCCTTGACTCTTTCTTTCAAAATCGAATGCACTCTCCCCTGCCTGAACATTCCTTTTTACAGATAGCGAACTCTTTAATTGGTAGGGTCTTTTAAAGGCTTGTGTGTATGCATGCATACACACATGTACATTAGAGCATATGTAAATTAGCACATGCAGATCTATGCTTTTATTTCCCTGTGAGCCTGAGAATTTGATCCTTTTGGTACCTAGTACTACCCTTAGCCACTCCTTTCTTTTATGTTGTGTATAGACTAAAAGGCTACCCCTGTGAAATTCAGCTTGCAATAATAGGTGAGATGAAGGGTTTGTATAGAGTCCAAGATTGCCAGTGATCATCCATAAGTATTTATATATTTAAAATATACGTTGCCTAATATAAAAAACATCTGTATGCAGTTAGGGCTCAACAGAGTAGCTGCTTTGCAATTATTACATTTAGTATTTATTAGAAGATTAGGAATGGTTATGGCTATTTAAAATACTTTTATAAGTTGTGCTATATTTTATAGATGGAGCCTCATCCTTTTTTTCTAGCAGGACTCCTTCTCTAAAACTATGAAACAGACAAGAATTAACAGATGCAACTGCTATCTTTTGCATAGAACCCTGCTACATTGTTGATATCTCTGTCCCGTTAAAGGTCAGTAGACTTTAGAGGAAGATGAACTTATAGACATTGTGGGGTGGGAGTAGTTGTGTATGGATAGGAAAGTTGATGAGTTATCATGCTCCCAGTCAACTCTTAACATATGATAAATATTCAGTGCATTTTTTTTCTTTTTACCTCCTCACCCAGGGTTCGAGTTTAGCCTGCCTGTGTAAAGAGCACTGAAAGACAGAAAATGTTCAAAGTTTTGGAGAATTCTCAACAGTACACCTTGCTAGTATTCTCTGCCCTTTCCTTTTGTTAGGAGGGTTGAAGAAAAAAGAATTCATGTGAGAACTTTGCTTTGGATCTTATTGCTATTCTATTTTCTTTGGCTGTTGGATACCTGAGTATACCAAAGTATCCAATATTCATATCAGTGAAAAAAATTGCAGTCTTGTATACACTTATCTAGGAATAAACCCTATTGAACTCACTAGGGCTTAATTCTGAGAAGCCATGTAAAGGATTGTACTATAAAGGATTGATTTATTTCCCCCTTTCATTATTGACATCTCCTGCTTCAAACTTAATGGGTTGCATTCGCTGTTCTGGCAGTAATTTAAGTGCTTGAAGCTGGGAATGACCTCTGGGTCTGTTAGCTTAGTGTGGCACTTCCAAAGTTTTAAAATATAAATATGTGTATGAAACCCCATCTATACATGTGCAGAAAGGGCGTTTATAGGATGCATAGTTGGTCTTTATAAGAGTGTGTGTTGTCCAAATAGCATTTCATGCTTGCTTAAATATATTCAATTGCATGTTTATTATGAACAATGTAAACCCAAATGTAAGCTGCTTTGAGTTCTTTGTAGGAAAAAAGGTGGAATATAAATCTAATAAATAAATACATGTCTGGCATATTTGGTCCCATAGACAGCACAATGGCTGCAGTTTTATTAGTTTGAATTCTGTAAATTGTAACTTAGTAAGATAAATATTCATGTTATGTATCTGAATCTAATAGGAAAAAGTAATGTGTAGCTCAAGTCTGTGCATGTTTACTTGGAAGTAAGTTGTACTGTTTACAGTGGAGTTTACTTCATGGTTAGTGGCCATCAAGTTACAGCCCTAGATGTTAGCAGAAAGAAATTAACAACACATTTGATCTTGTATCCATACAGAAATCAAACAGTAATGGAAACATATGACCATTGAGTCCATGTAACTTCCTTGTTTTTCTTTCTATTTTGTAGCAGTCTTGTATTTCTAGAATGGACTGTTCTAGGTCTTTCTCAGGGGAAGGGGAAAGGCAGACTGTATCTCAAAACCAGAATGCTGACAATGAAAGACAGTGGCAACAGGAACGTCTTAATAGAGAGGAAGCCTATTACCAATTTATTAATGAGCTGAATGATGAAGACTACAGGTTGATGAGGGATCACAATCTCCTTGGTACTCCAGGTGACTCTTGACTTACTTAATGTAATTCTGAGTTGCATTTAATACAGTTTTAATTTTCATATTTTATAAACTAAATAGAACTTTTTAATTCATTGTGTCAAATTGCTTGGGGGACATGGTATATTGAACTAATGCTGCAAAAATCTAATCATATTTTATCACTTGCCATAGAAACAAATGGAAAAGCTTAATTTAAAAAACATTATTGATATTGACATTTTTAAAATAAGTATTCCAAGATAAGTCCTTCTTTATTCATGCTTACTGGCCTGAGATGATACGTAAGATGATGCTTAGCTTCATGCAGTATAGAGGGATAATAACAGAAAAAATTAGATTTCATTTTCGTACATTTAAACCTGATTCTACAAGCATTTCATGAAAAGAAATCCCAGTAACTTGGTGTATTAGAGATGCAAACTGGGTGTTTAAAAACTCTGGGCAGGTTATAACAATGTATAATGTATCTATATTATGTTTCTGGTGCATGTTTGTAAGCCTGTCATGTGCTTTCAGTGTAGATTTGCCATTCCAGATTCTCCCCCTTGTTCCTTTTACTACTTTAAGAAAAAATCCCTCTGTTTTATTGTTAAGAACTGTTCTATCTGCTTCTGTGTATTCAAGCAGTAAATAAAACTGACAGCATCACATAAACTATTTCAGGAGAAATAACAGCAGATGAGCTGCAACAACGTTTGCAAGGTGCAAAGGAGCATCTGGCCTCCCAGTCTGACCCAGAAAATAGAGACTGGGAAAGAGTTTCTCTTGGATGTAAGCCTGTAATACTAATACAACAGTTGCTTCAATAATATAATTTCTGGGAAATGCAAATACAGTAGCAATGTTAGTAAATTACTGTTAGATTGAGTGGTCGATCAACATATTTGTCATGGGAATTAGAGACTTGTGGGAAGAGGGGAAGCATTCTAGTTATACATAGCTAGTGAACGGGAGTTAAGGAAAGATGAGACTAAAGGAAAGTCAGGGCTGGATCTTTTGAGGGAGGGGAGCCTGTGTTTTCTAATTTGCTATAGTACATTTCCCTGGGGAGAGCAGGGGTAGTTTCCAGATAAAGTAAAGACCTGACAGAGCCTAGGATTATGGGGAGTAATGCTATCTGTGCTATCCTCTGCCTTTAATTCTGTGGAAGTAGCAGACTGCACTTGCTTTATGGGAAAGGAAGTCACATGACATGTACTTTGAGGCACCTTTACTATATTTCAGTGGGTTGGTAGAAATAACTTGTGACTAATAAACTCCTGTGTAATGTATGGGCTTCCGATTATATTAAAACACATACTTTGCATCCACAGCATTCACTGAGTGAAACTAGAATGTACAGAATTAGTAATCCTTCGAAGCTCCCTTATCAAAACAGTCTTAATAATTTTGAATTGTTAGGCCTCCTTTTGCAATTGTTCTTTCTTTCTTGTATCTCTTAAGTTATTGGATGGGTGAGGAGAACAGTAGATTGTTGGAATGGTAAAGGTGCAGAACTCAGACATTGCAGAGCTCCTGAAACTTGTCTGCAAGAGCTGTGTGTTCTGTAAAGGTTCCTGGGTTAGACAGATTCTTACCTTTGGCTGTTTTTCTAACTTTTTCTTGCTTTTCTTTTTGCTTCAGATAACTGTTTGCATTTGAGAAGTAAGACTATATCTGATGAGCTAATACAATTGGGAGAATCAATCCATATATTATGTGAAATTCTAGGCATTTTTACCCAGAAGTATGTCACAATGTGTACAGTGGGAGTTACTCCAGGCTAATGTACATGAAATTGTAGAATTAAAAACACCCATACTCCCATGTTATCCAAACCTTCTGTAAGCTAATACAGTAAAAACAGATTTGAATTGGTTTATTAAATTAATATGGTTGTGCATAACAAATATTTTCCTGGTGGCTTACAGAACTTCTAACAGGACAGTTTTGTAAAATGAGGTTGGGATGCAATTATTTATATGATTCTCTGGAACTCATGTACTATATTCAGTTTTGATAAAGACTTCAAGGAACACAAGAAATCCTACTGTTTTAGGAGGTAGTGCTGTGGGTGGTAAAGTCCAGCTGACACAAGCTTTAGAAAAATAGCCTTACTTATTTGGAATTTTTTAAAAGTAGCCCTTCAAAACATTACCTAGAACATCTATCCAATAAGTACACAATTAATCATGAAATACAGTATTGCGATAGGGATAACTAGCATGGCTCATGGGTTGTGGTCTAAATTTGTAGCATCAAAGCTACTTTCTAACCTTTAAATATATAAATTAGCCTGACTGATAGCTTGAAAATGGAATTCACTGGTCGCTATAAATTATAAGTAACCATGGATATTAGCTGCTATAAAGTTTACAAAATATTTTTATTGGAAGTTTGACGACTTAGGTTCTAAAGCATTTGTAGGGCCTGAAATGTAGCAGGATAAGAACCCTAAGTGTGATAGATAATCAAATGACTATTAAGAGTAGTGAATCTAGATATTCAAGCTATCAAGTGATGATTGTTTTAGCTGGCTTGTCCAAATACAACCATGACATGAAAAATGTATTTTATATATATTTAACTACTTACAGATTCAGAGACTTTTGGGGAAAACTCAACCAACAACTCCCTGCTGGAGTGGCTCAACACATTCCATCAATCAGGAAATTCTACCCATAGTGGACAGAGTGGGAACCAGTCTTGGAGGTCTATAAGTCGGGCAAACCCAAATAGCAGAGAATTCCGGTTTAGTCTTGAAATAAATATAAATCAGGAACATAATGGTGGCAATGCTCCTGGACAAGAACTGAATAGCATCCTATATGACCAGGCTAACCAAAGGCAAACGGAAAGTAACTCTCTAATAATTGACAGCCCAGTAGCCAGCCGAACTAGAAGCAGGACTCTGAGAGATACTGTTAGCCGTGCACTTGCTTCATCAAGAGCTGCAAATGCTAGTGGTTCAGTGACACAATATGTTGAAGAATCATCTCAATTTTTTGCAAGAAGACCCAGAAGGAGAAACAGACGCTCAGCAAGCTTAGCAACACGTTACTTTTTAGACGATAATGAGCACAACATTATTAGGCAAAGTAGAACACACAGGGTTACATCAGTGAGGCTTCACAGAGGGAGAACTAGAACCAGATCTCAGAGGAATACAAGGCAAAGGCCAGCAGTTTTAAGACTACGGTCAACTTTCAGTAGTCAGTTCCATTCCCTTTTGGAAAGGAGGCAAGATATGAATGTACAACAAATCCATACACCATCCAGTAGGACACATACAGTCCAGTCTTCTCCAGAGCAAGGTGAGGAACAAAGTCCATCATTGGGCATATCCATGGGAGAAGATGAATCTACAGGAACCCAAACTGCACCTAGAAGGCAACCTACTATTACATTAGACCTTCAGTTTAGGCGGATTCATGCTGGAGAAAACAGAGATCAGGATAGTATCGCTACTAGAACTCGCTCAAGAGCGGGCCTGGCAGACAACTTGGTCACTTTTGAAAATAATAATGAGGGATTTCCTCGAACTGTTTCACGATCTGAACGTGCAGGTATACGGACATATGTTAGCACTGTACGGATACCTCTTCGTAGGATATCAGAAGCTGGACTTGGAGAATCTTCAGCAGCAGCTCTTAGATCAATACTTAGGCAAATTATGACTCGGTTTGAAGAACTGAACCACTTAATAGATCCAGACTCAAATTCTAGAGTTCAGAGAGGTAGTCAGCACTTATCAGCTATGCAATCACAGTTATCGAATTTGCACACTTTAAGCAATGTCAGTGAGTTCAATGAAACATCACTTCAGAATGGACCTGCTGAACAAGGTAGCAGGGACTGGCATGGAGAAATCAATGCAGCTCAACATTATAGTCAAGGTAATGAAACTCAAGAGAACAGGGGATTTCAAGATGCAACCCCTTTTGTTGAAAATGGAACACTCCCCATCCTTCGTTTGGTGCCCTACCTTTTATTAGAAGAAGATTCTGGTAATCACTTGAGGGGATTAACAAAAGACCAAATTGACAATCTTTCTACTCGTAATTATGGGAATGCCAGTTCAGAGGACAGTGAAATAAGTAAGACATGTAGTGTGTGTATCAATGAATATGTTGTAGGAAATAAGCTGAGGCAGTTACCATGTATGCATGAGTTCCATTTTCATTGTATTGACCGCTGGCTTTCTGAAAATTCCACTTGCCCAATTTGTCGGCAGCCTGTAGTACCTTAGCGTTGCAGCAGTGGGTGAATCCTCACATTCTTGCATTTTCATATTGTGCTGGAAGCCATGGGTGTTTCTACTTATTTTGGAATAGAGAGGAGGTGCTTTAAACTGAAGAAGATGTAACTACATTTGGCAGTGGATATACGTATCTTAAAGTGCAGGTATGAAGGCAAATGTCACTCAAATTACCTTCATCAAATTATATTTTTCTATATTTTCTTATGCAAAGCACTTCTGAAATACAGAAATTTAACAGTTTGTGTGCCTAACAATACAATCTTTATTGATACTTTGGTTTGTTTTGTGCAGTTGTCAAATTGTCTTTTATTAATTGTTTGTTCTATGAATAATTTCTTTTTTAAAGTTGCAAAGAAACTGGAAACCTGGGCATCTAGTAGAAGGTACTTAAGTTATTTGAAGGACTTGGTTTTAGTACATGGTGTATATTTTTTACAGAATATTCTACATATTTTGTTTTACTTAAATATTTTATAGGCAGTTTTGCATGCTTTATACAAACATGGCTTACTGTTGACACAATAATTTTGATGTAAATGAGATTCTGGGGCCAAATGAAATTTTAATTCATTAGAGTTAAATAATACAAAAGTGTATGCATTTTTAGCCAGAAAAAGGGTCATGCATGTCTTCAAGATGCTGTGATTTATAGACCTTTTTCTGTCTAAATGTGCATAGGATTGCAGATTTGCAATCCTGTGTAATCCTAAATGTGCATAGGATTGCACATTTAGAACGGTTCATCTTTCGGCACATTAAGCCATGAGATTACTGTGGAAAACTATTAATCCATATTTGTCAGCTTGATGTTAATGTTAGAACATTGTTTCAAGAATGTGGAAACATATTTAACACACATTAATAGACATCCCAATGAGTTTTTAAACCATTTTTAATTTGAAGATGAGAGTGCCATGGCTAACTAATTCACCTGCAGCATGTGTGATTTATGGTTTATTTTTGTTACACTTTATCAGTCGGTGATACATCTGCACCACATCTAAATGTAACATGTAATTCTGTTCAGCTTAAAAGGGAGAGCTTCCTCAGGATAAAATGCCATAAACTGTTACAGAAATATGTATGCCTATTGTATGTTACCAAAAACAAATTGTATACTTGGACTTCAAGGCTTATATCAATACCTGACAAAAGAATAAAACTGCAAAACAAGAATGGATATGTGAATCACTTTTATTTTTAACTAAAAGCCATGTGAGAAGAAAGATGTCATTTCTAATAGGGGTTCCACAGTTTGTTTCTCTTTTGCTATAAATCCTACTTTTCTCTCCATAATCATTCAACTCAGTGACATGATCTGATCATGACACAAATCTCACCATGGGCAGCAAGCCTTGGTTGGTTGTCATGCCATGTGATCCCATATTATTCACAGTAGGTTGACATATTGCCTGAACTTGGATGACTGATTCCATCATAGGTAAAGTCTGGATGCCAGAGAATCACTCGGCAAGAGTGGCAAAAATACCTCGTCCTTTGGCGCTGCACGGACTACTGCAAGAGCCAGCTGCCCCATACAGCCAAGCAGCATGGTGGGGCAATTCTCACTGGCTCTCTGCCTCCTCCTCCTCCTCCTCCTCCTCCCCCTCCCCCTACACTTTCCCTCCATTGCTCCGCAGAGATAAATTTTTGCAGTATCTGTTCTGATGGCCTCTCTGAAAAGCCCAAGTGGCACAATGGAGAGGCTAGTACTTCACCAAGCCCCTGCTTTTTTGTACCACAAATATGTTCAAAAGTTTTAGTCATTAATTAAAATGCTGGAATTACTTGATTCCAGAGGTGCAGTGTGTGCAATTTTGTGGGTGAAAAAGGGGATGACTTGCCTAGGTAATATCCTTGGGTAGCTGCTGTCAACACCTAGCAGGTGCTAACCATGATACTGATCAGGAGATTATTCCAGTTAGGTGGGGGGGGGAGGGGTGTTTTTGCACTTTCCCTTTTCATTACGGCTGTCAAAATGCAGTTAACACAAAGACACGAGTGATCTTTGCTTGCAAAGAAGGGGTGGAAGAATTTGTCCCCCTTTGGCACTGGCATCCTCAGGCTTTTGTGTGTTCCCTGATAGGCCCAGTGCCCCTAATTTTTCCATCCATCAGAGGAGAGACTTCCCATTTTTGCATCCACAGATGTGTACATGACAGCACCCTCAGAATTGCATAATTCTAGCTAATGCTTTAAAAAGTAATGAAATGGTTCCTCAAATGTGCATGGATTCTTATTCACACAGATGGTATGCAAATATAAACACTAAAAAAGTAACTTAAGAGGAGGGTTGACCAGGCATACACATTACAGGTTCCAGGAGTGACCAAGGAACAATCCCATTTATTTAAGGTGTCATATGTGACTATTATTTCTATAATTTAGTTCATATACCCATCTCCTCCCCTCCCCCAATATGTAAAACCCTGTTCTTCCAAACATTTGCAGATAACCTTATTATATCAAAGGAACGGCTAAAATACACTGAAGCTATATTAAGCTCTGGAAGATTCGGACCCGTGATATCCTCTCTGGCAAATATTGATAGGAAAGCAAGGCCTTTTTACAACTGTCTTGTCAACCAGTGATCTGATTTATACATGACTCTTGGTCCCTCAAGCCCAGTATTATTAGTTGGCAGCAGTTCATTAGGGCCTCAGAGACAGAAGCTTTTCCTAACTCTGCTGTCGGAGATCCTTTAACTGTAAATGTGGGAACTGAGCTTGTAAGAGGAGAATTCTGTCACTAAGCTACAGTTTTGTGAAGTCCTTTCTGCTCAGAAGGATTGGGTGGGGAATTTCAGGAAGATGTCATGCTTCCAGCCTAATAGCAGTTCTGGGCAGTAGCTTGCCTTATGAAGCACTCCTACGGTGCAGTTCTCAGCTATGCTGGTTGTCAGCCTTTTTCTGCCTAAACATGCATACGATGGTGCCTTCTAACATCTCCACATGGCCACAAAACCATATTTGCTCCTTCATGTTCTCTTACCCATCGGTTTGCCTCTCTGCATTCTTAAAAGCTGGGCCTGTTCCTTTGTCAGAATCTGCTGATCATTTCAAAGGCTTTTGCACAGGTAGCAAATGAGTACACTTTCCTGGTTAGAAAATGTGCATGTGGTTTCAGTGTTCTAGAAATTTAATTCCAGGATAGTAATTCATTTGAAAGGAGGAAATGAATAGGATTTATTTTATGATAGAGCATTGGAAAGGTCTGAGGAATGCTTTAGCTATAGCTCTCAACTTTGGCATGGCTTTTCATTCTATTCACTTTTTGTCAAACATGGGAGGTGGTTGAAGCTCCATTGGTGTGGGTGTTCAAGGATAGGCTGGGCATGCACATGGTAGACATGTCATGAGTGGAGCTGGATGAAGCTGGGGATCAGACTAGATGTCTCGGGAAGCCCCTTCTGACTCGCTCTGTTTTCATGCTGTCATATGCCTCTGATACCTATCAATAGGAGGAATGCTTATATAGGACAGAAGTGTGACCACATGAATGGGCTGTTCACCAAATGTATATATTGGTCCCCAAAGTGACAGAAACAATCCACTTGGGAATAATTTTGTGCAATGTATATGGGATCATTCACAACCTCAGGAGTTACTTATTTTGATATCTAAAATATCTGCAGAAAGGAATGCTTAGAATAGGGTCAGCCACAGATCCTCTAGTTCCTTCTGAACATAAGAGCCACACTGGATCCAATCAAAGGCCTCCTTAGTCCAGCATGCTATTTACATAATAGCCATCCAAATATATATGGTAAACCCACAAGCAAGACATGAGTACAATTCATGGTCTTCAGCAACTGGTGCCTTTGATCTTGGAAGTAATCTGTAACCACTTACAACTTGCTCTTCCATGAAGTTGCCTAATTCCTTTTCTAGCTATCCATGTTGGTGACCAATTGTGCCTTGTGGTAATAAATTCCATAATTTAATTATATTTTGTGAAACATTACTTTTAGTTAAGGAACATTTTGATACCTGTAGGAGCAGTGTCTAATGAATTGACAACACTTTATTTCCCAACTAGAGCTTCATACTGATATAATTCCATTAGTGATGCCACTGAATACTCACATTTTGGTTCATAAAGGATGTAGCAGCTTGCTTCATCATGAATCACAGTAATTATCTACATGCCATTGTTAGGAAAATGAACATTTGGAGGACCACAGGTTCTCCATCCCTGCTGTATGAAATGGATAAAATTATCAGTAGCTACATTACAAAGATATGAGCCACATTAAAAAAGAAATTTAAAACACTGTGCAAAGAGTTTGGTTTCTCTTTAGTGCCCCAAATTTATTCAGTGCAGGCTGTAATAAGTATGATGTTGATTTCTGAGTGTATACAGTACAGCTTAAATGAACATAGTTTCATTTATGCTTGACAGAAGCTTCTGATTCAGTGTATATGTGCATTTACACTGAAGTCTCAAGTCCTCAAACAGCACAATCCTGGAAAAACTGTTGGGTGAACTTCAAAAAAAGCAACTTGACCATTGTAGCCTTAGTATCTGTGCCTGCCTGCTGCTGTTATTTATGTCACCATGCAGGATTTGTGCACACAAAGGCACATCCATTGAAAAGTCCTTCTATTTTTTCCTCTAATCCATCTCTGAGCTAGATTCAGGGTGGCTCATCTCTTTGACCTTTAGTCTGGATGCTTAGGAAGAGCAGCTGTCCCATTAGTTGTGTATAAAACTCTTGCTATCCTCAAACTGCCTCTGACATAGGCATGGGGGATAGTATTTTTAAATGACCATGTAATTTTAAACTGCCATGGCTCCAAAGTGGCCAGATTTAATTGTGCTTGGGTTATTTTAATCTGCAACAGGTTTTCAGCTGATTTAGGCTATTATCCTAAGGATGCTTCCATGAAAATGTATTTGTACGTAACTAACTACCACTTCAGTGCAACTTTCAAATAAATACATGTAGGAACATCACTTAAATTCACAGTTTTCCGAGTGCATGCCTTGCTTTAAACATCAGCATACACGTCCCAAACAATATCACTGTAATATAGCAGACACATCATGGTTAATGGTTGTAAGTTGGGACGTTAGTGTGCATGTTAATTCAAAGAATAAATTTATTCAGAGAGATTCAATTGTGGGATGGTATTGGAATGGAACAGAATGGAAGAACAATGAATTTAGGATTAGCTATTCACCTTAAATCTTAACTTTTTGCCTTGTAATGGGTTATAATGGGGTGAATTTCCCAAGCCTGGTGTGTGCATACCTATTTCACTTGACCCAGTTTAAACAAGATGTGTGCAAAACAGCACTTGCTGGTTTACACACAGGGCTGTTAATTATGTAAGGTTGGAACAAAAGATGCCCTTAGGCCAGCTGAAAATGCCTTCTAGTTCCAGAAGGCAGGTTCACATCTCTGGATAGAATGGAGGAATCATAGTTCAGTGGTCTATGCTAGGTCTATGAAAGAGGCTAAGTTCAGTCCTGGGTACTTCTAGTATATGTTCACAATACTATCTAGATCAGGGATGGACAACTTGTAGCCCTCCTGAAGTTTTGGCCTTCAACTTGCATCGGCCCTCACCATTGCCTTTGCAAGCTAGGGCTGCTGAAAGTTATAGACCAAAATGTCCAAATGGCTACAAGTCTGCCCCAGAGCTAGATAGATCAAAAGTATGAGGCAGGGAGAGGCAGCCTTCAGACATTCTGAGGCCACTCTTGACCCACTCAGCTGCCTGCTAGCCGCAATCTTGATGCTGTGGCACTGCTGAATCCACTGCAAGGGGCAAATGACGGGTCAAAAACAGCAAAGTAGTTTGCTTTCAAGTTACATTTGGCCCTTTGTAAAACTGCTGTGTAGCAGTACTGCTGCAAGCGGTGATGGATTGTGGCCGCAGCAGGGTTGGGGGGGGGGGGCAAGTGCAGTCTGCAGGTGCCTTACCACTGGCACAAGGTAATCTCCTAAGCTGCAGAAAAAAGGTAAAGCTGAATTCAAGGACTGCTTCCACACACACATCCTCTAAGGCAAATGGAATCAGAAGACCTGTTACAGAGAAGTTTTATAGCTTATAAGGTCTCCTAGTGTCACGTTTGTCTCGGGAAACTCAGGTGATCTCAGTGGCACAAACAGCCTTCCACCAGTTTTGGCCACTGTGTGCTCCACAGGAATAATTTGACCTCAGTATGTT